ATTACAAAGATTAATTTTTTTCTGGTTAAGGTTCTGGGGTGACAGCAGTGACCAAATTCCCCATCCTTGTGTAGCATATATTTTAGGAAAAGGTACAACACATAGAGAAAATATGTAAATGATGTCAGTTAGAAGCAAGTACTATGAAGAAAAATAAAGGTGGGATGCTTTTAGATGGCTAGTCTAAGAAGGTAAAATTTGAACAGAATGCAAATATCTAGAGAAAAATGGGGAGTATCCCCAGTTTTCACACAACTGACACACATATGAAAATATTTGTCTAGGAAAGCACAGTTAACAGCGTTTCACTCACTCCTGAAACCACTATCAATTCTTTGTAAAAATAAGATATGACTAGAAAAATTGTGCTTTAAGAATTACAGCATAAAGTTCTTTTATTTAGCTTTTACATACACATCAAAAGACCTTGCATATAATAATGGAATTTTAGACATGCCATGAAATATTATCATATCAATAAAAAATCAAGTACAATTGCTGAAAATAGTTTTCTATTTTAGTGGGGTACTAATTTCCACACTAAAAAGCAAACATATTTTTAGTGAACAAACACAGAAAATGACCTACCTCTAAAAGTTGACATCATATTTTATAAAAACAAGATGGGAAGATTTATAATATATTCCTTAGGTACATTCCCTAGAGTATTTATAAAATAATTCTAAAGAACCAATTAAACTCATCATATTTTTTTCTCAAGGGCATAACCTTAATTTGGGGCTTTGAGATCCTAGTTTCTCTTTTGAGGCCAAAGTCTCTAACATCTACGTACACTGCTTGGGACTGAGTGCATGAAAATCTTTAGCACAAATAGAAAAATTAGCCATCACAAGTAATACTATGAAAGGAGGAAAATATGGGTAGATAAGTTTTGTATTTTTTTATATTTATTGTTGAAAGTATTCCATATGCCCCCCCTTTCCCCCATTGACCTCTTCTAGGCTACCCCCACTGTCCTGAGAGGATTCTGATGAGAAGATTCTCATCAGAAGTCTTCAATATTTCTAAACACTGAGGTGAGGTCATCTCATGAGAGAGAGAGGAAAAGGAAGGTGAAGTTTGTGAGAAATTTAAGGAATAGAAAGAGTGTTGAGAGCAGAAGAGTCACATAACCAATGGAAGGAAGTAGGGGTACTGGTCAGGGGTGAGGACCCTTTGAAAGTTGAACATTATGGATTTATACTGAAACCAGTTTGCTCCATTGAGCTAATTTCATCAACATGCCAGGAATTAAAGTGGGTCTGAGAGCCAGGATCATTCATAAAATTGATATTTTATGAGGAAAGTCAAAAGTAGAATAAAGACTAGTTGAACATTATTTGGAGATGCATTTTCTGGAAAATAAAGGACTCTTCAGATGTTTTTTTCTGGTCTGTATCTTCCAGAGCACTGATGGTTCTAGGTCAATAAAGAGGAGTTCAAATGCAGTCTGACTAAGATAAGAGAGGTGTCTCTGGTTTTGTTACATCTCCAAATGCTGGGTTACAGGATGAGAAATCAGTCAATGAGATAAAGCTATATATCACTGATTTGGGTTGTTTTATTGAGCAGGATTCAAGATTGATTTCTTTCGCGGATTCTTGTCCAGATGGATTCAAAGAATGAAGCCAGGGACAAAAGGTGGTAGGTGAAAAGTACAGAAACTTTATTGCAAGCAAATACTACCTCTAAACCTTAATTCTAAATTCTAAGCCTAAAACTCTGTCCTCTTGGAGCAGAGGGGCCACCTAAGAAAGGTGTCCTCTAAGTTCCTAATCCTAAATCTCTGTTCCTTCTGGAGGGACAGAGGGCCCCTAAGAAGGGTGACCACTGCCTTCTTTGTCTTGAGGTTTTAATATGCTGGTGACCCTTCTTGTCTATATGGGACCTTAGCCCTGTAATCAGCTCCCATGACCCGCACATCCGAAGTTTTCCTCGTTTGGTCATGTTATCTGTTTAGGTTGGAGTCACTTTTGATTTATCTTATAGTTTTCTCCCAGTTGTGTTGGCTGGAGATATCCTGTCTATAGCTCTCCCAGCTGCTCCGGTCAGGGCTACTTTTGATCTAACTTATGATCACTTTAATTGCTCAAGCCAGAGATACCCTGTCTGTCCTTGGTTTATGGCTGTTTTAATTGCTCAGGACAGAAATGTTTCCATCTGCCCATAGCATTTCTCTATCCTCTGTACAAGTAAGATAAACACCTTGGCATCTTCAAGTTCCCATCTATGCATACCTCTCCCATGGACCCTCCTCATTACCTAAAATTTCCTAATTAAGCTAGCTAGCTAATCTCTTTATTAATATACTAGTAAAAATGTAGTTTGTTTATCACCTTATCACATTTGAGAAGATTTAAGCATTGCCAGATTTTTTTTCCAAATTGAAGTAGAAACTTTTCTCTCTTCTATCCTGATTCCTTACACAAGTAAAATAATAACATTTAAAGAAGAAAACATACTGGCCCTGACCAGTTTGGCTCAGTGGATAGAGCGTTGGCCTGCGGACTCAAGGGTCCCAGGTTCGATTCCGGTCAAGGGCATGTACCTTGGCTGCGGGCACATCCCCAGTGGAGGGTGTGCAGGAGGCAGCTGATCGATGTTTCTCTCTCATCGATGTTTCTAACTCTCTATCCCTCTCCCTTCCTCTCTGGAAAAAATCAATAAAATATATTTTTAAAAAAAGAAAAAAAATATATACTGACTAAATCCCATGAAAAAGATGTTCCTTGTAGGATTGTACACCTCAGTGTAGGATTGTAGAGCCCTCGTTTTCTGGCTCTTTAATGTGAGGTTTCCTTGTTTTATACAAAATGACAGAAGACTTGACCCCTCTTTAAGCAGAATGCCTGCTTTCACTCTGATGAAAATTTGTCCTAAAGTATGTATGTATTTAAGTATTGACTGGAATGGAACCCGGGACCCTTCAGTCTGCAGGCTGACGCTCTATCCACTGAGCCAAACCAGCTAGGGCTAAATTTCTTTAGTGAATGGTTGGTTTATCTTTGCCTAAATCAAGCCCTGTCCATTGTTCTTGTGCATCTAGTTCAGCCATGGGCAAACTATGGCCGGCGGGCCAGATCCGGCCCATTTAAAATGAAAAAAAATAAAAAAAAAAAAAAAGACCGTACCTTTTATGTAATGATGTTTACTTTGAATTTATATTAGTTCACACAAACACTCCATCCATGCTTTTGTTCCGGCCCTCCGGTCCAGTTTAAGAACCCATTGTGGCCCTCGAGTCAAAAAGTTTGCCCACCCCTGATCTAGTTTAACACATCTTTGAAATACCAGTCATCCTCTTTTCACACCCCTGAGAGATGTAACCACCCTCCAGGGAGCACATAATCTTACTGAGTCTGTACCTTCCTTTGTTCCACTTTCATGTAATCTTCCTTATGTTCCCTCCTTAACTCCAAATGTGTAAATAAAGCAAAACTGTCATTCTCTGGAGCTTTTGAAATCTTGCTTCCTAGCAATGTTGTCAGTTTGGCTAAAATAAACTCATAAAAATTCTCTACGGGTTTGGATATTCTTAGTTGACAACACGATGAACATTTGATCTATTTCAGGCAGCAGCTGTCCTTTCTAAAGGACAGCAATGCAATTGTCCTAAAAGTAGGTAAATTTTAGGCCAGGATGTGAAAAGTCTGTGAAAGAGAATAAGTGAAGCCATAATATGAGACAGAAAATGAGAACTACAGAGGAGAGAGAGAGCGAGAGAGAGAGACCTGGGGCCACTGAGTCTTCTAGGTCTGTTTCTATGTTCCTTCATGGAAAAATGTCCTGAATACTCTGTTATTATATGTTAAGATCACATTTTTGTAAAATGACAGATATAGGACACTGAAATATCATCTGTTTATTAAAATGTTTAGTTTCAAAGAAGATAAGACAGCTTGTTTTTGAAAAAAAAAATTATCTAACAGATAATCCATCCAAGTATAAGAGAACTTTTCTAACACTGCCTTTATGAAATTGTCATTATTGGGCACTTTACATGTCAGATGCCAGAAGCAACAGTTTGTCTTCCATCACCCTGCATCTTTCATTGGAATGATTCTTAGAATCTCTTTATATCTGCTGTCACAGTTCCATGACTCCATAATAAATCACCAATAAAAGTTTTTAAATGATTACTGAGTCTCTTTTAAGTGTCTGCTTTTGTACTAGGAAAATCCAGTCCTATTGGGGAGATAGCCCAATTATGAAAATACCATTTAAACCAACTGAAAGCTTTAAACTTGTCTCAATTACATTGTAGCCAGCAGTAAAATAGATATGTGTGGCTATTTGCTAAAGAAATTGCCCTAGCTCTTTAAGTTTAAACTGCTTACTCAAAGATCAAACAACATGACACTTCATCTTCAGAAATTATAAAGAATACTTCTTTTATAAGTCTCAGAAACTTCTGCTCCATAAGCCTCGTTCTTGTTCTGTGATTCCCTCTTATCTTTACTTATGCTGTAATTTGTTCCCATCATTCCCTCAGTCGTCTAGATTACTTGCCCAGGTTAAAAACACTTGACCTCGGCACCTTATGGGGATTAAGTTCGGATTTTTCTTTCTGGTCCACTGGGGACAAGAGGCAGTCTCTAAGCCTGGTTTTAGTCCTCTGGATGTATTCTGGCTCAGCCTACTCTTTATCATCTGTCTTCTGGCAGTTAAAACACCACTGTCCAATCTCAGAGTCATCAAGCAGGTGAGGAGATGGAGTCATTCCTCCCACCACTCATTCTATCTCTGTCCCACCAACTTTTATATTGGGCTTTATAACTCTGAATATGGATATTGGATTATTTTCAATCATATCGATTCTGTGAAATAAGTGGGATTTATAGTGTCATCATGCTCCCCGGATGCCTGGGACATTTGGTCCAACTCCACTATCAGGGGAAAAAATAGCCTCGTTATAGAATGAAATGGAGCTGGAATGAATGAAGGTGGACTTGCTCATTCCCACATTCCCTCGGTGTGCTAAAATTCTATGCTTTGTCATTCTAAGCACAGAAGTGAAAAGAGGTTGTTTTAAAAATTTTACCTAAAGAAGCTTTGACCTCCTTGTTTCTCAGACTATAGATGAGAGGATTTAACATGGGGATGACCACTGTATAAAACACAGACACCACTTTGTCCTGGTCCATTGAGTAGCTGGAGCTGGGGCGCAGATACATGAACAGGATTGTGCCAAAGAAGATGGTAACCACCATCAAGTGGGACGCACAGGTGGAGAAGGCTTTGTGCCTCCCCTTGGCAGAACTGATCCTCAAGATGGCAACAAGGATGTAGAGATAAGAAATGAGAATAGTTAGAAGGCAGCTCAGTTCATTAAAACTGGCAAAAGCAAAAATGACGATCTCGTTGACACGTGTATCAGAACAAGAGAGCTTCAGGAGGGGTGGAGTGTCACAGAAAAAGTGGTTGATGACATTGGAGTGGCAGAAAGACAGCTGGAAGGTGAAGCCAGTGTGAATGGAAGCATTCAGAAAGCCTGCAAGATAAGTGGCCGACACCAGCATGATATTAAGATGAGGGGACATAGTGACTGTGTAAAGAAGAGGCTTGCAGATGGCCACATACCGGTCATAAGCCATCACAGCCAACAGGAAGCCTTCAATACCAGCAAAAGAACCAAAAAAGAAGAATTGTGTGGCACATTCACTAAATGAAATGACTGGGTTCTCCACCCAGAAATTCACTAGCATATTAGGGGCAACGACTGAAGAATAACAGACATCAACAAGGGACAAGTTACTGAGAAAAAAGTACATGGGAGTGTGGAGACGTGAGTCAATATTGATTAATAGGATCATGCCAAGATTTCCAAACACAGTGATGATATAGATGACTAGAAACACCATAAAAAGAAGACACCGTAGTTCTGGATGATTGCTGAATCCCAGGAGAATAAATTCAGTCACTGTTGAATGGTTGCTCATATCTTTGTCTCAAAATGGATACTTCATTTGCTGGGATAAGAAAGAAATCAAGGAAATAAGTTGTACAGAAAAAACACCAGGAAAATCAAGTAGCTCATTCTCTGCTATAAGTAAAATTGCTTCTAGGATGTCTTAAGAACATATGTATTAAACCTCTTTATTTTCTTACTGCACTAAGAAAAAGTTTCCTTAAGGAAACTCAGTAACCTATTTTATTTAATATTTAACATATGCATGTATGTGTGTGTGTGTATAAAGTTTTAAATGATTGACCCCTATTAGTCTATATCCTACTCTACCTCCTAACTTTCTCTCTTCTTCCCTTGATCCTTCTATCTTCACTAGCTACCATCCAATTCCTTGGCAATTTAAAAGATGATACAGTTGAATGTACTTGCTGTATCCTTTTCTGTTTTCTGTTAAGCCCACTCAAATCAGGTTTTGACCACATTACCCATGGAAACTGATCCTGCCTAAGTCATCAGGAATCTTTATTTTGCCAAACCCAGTGATCAATTAGCCCTCACCTTTTTTATATATCAATAACATTTGATGGAGTTTATTGTTTATTACTCCTTGAAAGAGTTTCTTTTCTAATCTTCCAGAATACCAGACTTGGAGTTTTCCTCCTACCATATGGGTTGCTCCTTCTCAGTCTTCTTTGCTTATTCCACTTCTTTCCTCTGACTCTTAAGGTTGAAATACTTCAGAGATCAGTCCTCATTCTCCTTTCTTTCCTATTTATACTTGACCTAGATGGTCTTGTTCAATATCATTGCTTTAAATATCATCTATATATTTACAACACCTAAATTCATATCTCCAAACCTGACCTCTTTTCCAAACTCCAGACTTAAACTTCTTATATATCTGAGTTAATATAGAATAGCAACTCAACATCACCCAAAACTGAATTCTTTATGTTCTCTCTTAATTTGCTCTAAACACAGCATTCTCTATGTCAAATCAATGACAACTCTATACTTCCATTTGCTCAAATTATTACAAATAAATATTGAAAATATTGATCTCTTCTCTATCTCACATTCCATAACCATTCTACCAATAAATATGTTGCCTCTTTTTTTATTTTTTTTAAACTCCTTTCTTTTTTTAAAAAATATATATTTTATTGATTTTTTACAGAGAGGAAGGGAGAGGAATAGAGAGTTAGAAACATCGATGAGAGAGAAACATCAATCAGCTGCCTCCTGCACACCCTCCCACTGGGGATGTGCCCGCAACCAAGGTACATGCCCTTGACCGGAATCGAACCCGGGACCCCTCTTCTCTATCTCACATTCCATAACCATTATACCAATAAATATGTTGCCTCTTTTTTAAAAATATATTAATAAGCCAATTACCTTCCACCACCTCCATTCCTACCACCAAGGCCCAAGACAACATCATCTTTCATCTAGATTATTGCAGTAGTCTCTTAGCTGATCTTTCTGTCCCTAAAATCAGATAATTTTTTTCTTGTAAAATAACCACTGTTAAAATTTTGCAGCCATTTCATAGAGCTCTGCTTTATGCATATATACTAATATGTATATATATATATTACATATCTAATAAACATATAAATTGACATAAATAAAAATTATATTCTCTCTGATATATATGATCCTATATGTGTGCATACACACATACATGTATATATACATATGATGAAGACTGAAAATTATAAGCATTTTTTCAATTTGTACATAAAAAGCATGAAATTATTTTATTTAATGCCCTTCAGAAGGCATTACCAGTAAATATGTCAGGTGTTTTGGCACTCTTTCTATACAAACTTAATTCAATTTTGTTTACACACACATATATACACATAGATATGCAAGTATACATACATTCATGTGTGTATGTATGTGTATGCATATACTAAATATTCTATAAAATTCTCATCTGTAACTAGTGATCCTAAATTCCTCTCTTCTAAACAAAATCACACTAATTTAGTTGGTAACAATAAATTCAGTGTTTCAGACATATTACAAAAGAGATGTTTATTTTTAATTACTTGAATGTTTTTTGAGTTCTCTTGGAAATTTTCTATATCTGAACACTTTGAGATAAATTAAATCATCTTACCTTTTGTCCTAAAGAAATATTCACTGGAAATAGTGGTGGTTATTGGTTTATCTTTTTTTGTTATTGTTTGTTGGATGAATACACATTTTCTGTTTCCTAATGTGATGTTTATAGCTTTGATAGAATTAAGTCATGAATTCAACAAAGATTAGAAAATGCCACAACTGAATTCAAGGCAGAGGGTCACCTTTATAAAAGCTATGATCAGTCTCATGAGATTTAGTCTCTACAAACGTCTAAGGCTAGCAATGTGCTGATCAAAAATTAAAGCTTGCATTTGTTTTTCACTGAAATAATTGAACTACATCTTCCCCAGTGAATCATGTATACCCTGGAGGGTAACTTATGTATTTAGAGAAATGCAAAAATGATGTCATGATTCTGAGGTTCCATTGAGCACAACAATAAATTAAATGGTAAATAACTGACCATATCCTGTCTCAAAACCTCAGAATTCCACTCAAGATATGATCTCTACTTATTTCTACTGAAATATGGTTCTTATTGCATTCATAAATTGATTCATTCAATAAAATATAGTGAATGTGTTTAATGGAGCAGACGATGTCTTTGGTACTAGTAGAGTAGCCAGCAAAACCAATCTTGTCACTTCCTCATATCTTGCAGTTAGAGTTGGGGGAGAACAGCTATTACAGGGTGATATGAAAATAATGAAGTCTAAAGCCTATGTATGACCTATAAGGCTTATGTGACCTACTGCTCCTTCACAACACCTTTCTGGTGTCAGTTTTTTCTCTCCTATCATTTGCTCACTCTGGCCCACATACATTTGTCTTTACTATTCCTTTAGCAAACCAAGCATAATCTTTCTCAGGGCCTTTGTATTTAATGTAGCATGCCTAGAATGCTCTTTTACAGACCTTCACATGATATTATCCCTATTTAGGTATTGATCAAATGTCATTTCCACAGGAAGCTCTTCTCTGACTCCACTGTTCTCTATTCTATTGCCTGCTTTATTTGTCTTCAAAGTACCACTCATAGCCATATCAAACACACACACACACACACACACACACACACACACGTGCATAAATACATACATACATACATACATACATACACACACATTTGGTATAGACAATAAAGTCAACCTTATTTGAACATAAGTTTCATGAGATCAGGAACTTTGTGTTTTCTTACCTGTTTTATTGCCATTACATGTTCCATTTCAGTTTTTTTCATTAATAGATTTTTAAAACAACTTTATTGATATATGCATATGTTCAAATTCATCAAATTGTATACATTAAATATGTGAAGCTTTTTATGTCAACAAATAGTTTTCATTTATATTATGAGTAAATAAAGATATAAAAGGTGTCCATTTTCTTGTTCCAAGCACAAACTAAGGGAGTATAACATAAAGTACCATTTATAACTTAACATGGAGAAGGATATTTTAAGCCCAAGAATACATAAGTATGATGTTAAGATTCAGTTCCTCCTCATAGTACAAAAGGTGTGATTATTTTATAGATGCCTGAGTATGATAGCTAAGTAAAGAAAGCTAATTTCTTAAGCCTTTAATGTGTCCAAAGTCCTTAGATGCCAGGTTGTCAATTTAATATAAAAATCTGGAACTCAGGTTAGAGATCAAGGCTGGAGATGTGGATTTATAATCATGGCAGACTTCTTAAATCACCTAAGAAGTGGAGAACCAATGTAGTAATGTACCAGTGAAGCAATGGAAAGGAATAAGTCTTTGGCTCCAAGATTTTTGGGAGGGATAGAGATAAAAAGTTAAAATACATTGATTATTACCCTCAAAATATTCTAATTAATTCACAAAATCAGTAAAATATTCCCCCACTGTTGCTGCTGTAGGCATCTATATATATCAAAGCCTAAGTGACCTTTACAACCAGAATGACTGGAACGAATGGTCACTATGATGTGCACTGACCACCAGGGGGCAGATGCTCAATGCAGGAGCTGCCCCCAACCCGCAGGCCCTGATCACCGATGGGGCCTGCCGGCCAACCTCCTGATCCCTCCCCCCAGCCAGCAGGCCCCAATCGCCCTATAGGGGCCAGGTCCCCAGGCTGGGATGTAGAACCGGGGGTGGGTGGCAGTGGATACAGCCTCTTTCCCAGGGGCGCCAAGGGCCAGCTCCCTCCTTGGGGCCAGCAGCCAACCTCCCAGGTCCCTTCCCCTGTTCCTCCTCCAGCTGGCATTCCCCAATCAGCCCACCACGCACCCTCCACAGTGGCGATTGGTTCCTCTCCCCAGCCGGCAGGCCCCGATTACCTGATCAGGACCTGCCAGCCCACCTCCCTGTCCCTCCCCACGGCTGGCATGTCCTGATCGCCCAATCAGTGCTGGCCCCAGGCTGGGATGGGGAATTGGGGGTGGGTGGTGGCAGATGCGGGTGGAGAGGGAAGGAGGAGGGGAGAGGCTGGGGGAGGCAAGCAGGGAAGTGGGGAGGTGGGGAGGTGGGGAGGTGGGGAACCATGCAGTGGTGACACGTGGGTGGCAAGGGAAGGAGGAGGTGGGGAAGCAGGGAGACTGGGAACCACACAGTGGCAGCACATGGGTGGCGAGGGAAGAAGGAGGTGGGGAGGCGGGGAACCTGATCAGCCCTGATCACTGGCCAGGCCTAGGGACCCCACCTGTGCACGAATTTTGTGCACCAGGCCTCTGGTATTATTATAACACCTGTTAAGATGCTTTCTTGTATCTTATTTGGTACTCTTGACATCCTTGTGAGTAGAATAGTGTTATTATTTAAAGTGATTCTATGGTACACCAACCTGATTTGCCTTTCGGGATTTAAGTATTTAGTTCTCCAGGTTCCAAATTTATTGGAAACTAACACTTCAGAGCTGAGGATTGACCCTGTTGAAAGGAATGCTATGCTCACATTCATCCCCTCCCTTCCAGTGGATAACCCATATCCAAAACAGATCATTGTGGAAGTACAAATGCCTGGTCCTTTTTTCACAATTTTTACAATATTTATATATAAGAAAACTGATATTTAGCAAAGCTAAATATTCAAATTGTAACTTAAATTTAAGCCAGCCACCTCTAAGTATTTGATACTTTACCTGACAATGCCATCCCCCACTGTGTTGATTCATCATGTAGGCCCTAGGATACCCATGTAAGACACCAGATTAAGAACTATACCTTATTTTAAACAATCTACTTTAGTACACACAAAAAAGTGCTTAAGCAAAATTAATATGAAAAAACATTTTTTTCTACATAACAGGATATGGTCACATGGCTTTACAGTGTGTGTTTCTCTAAGATTTTCTTTAGGGCCCCTTTTACATCCTTATTTTTCAAACTGTAGATGAGGGGATTCAGCATAGGGATCACTACAGTATAAAATACAGAAACAATCTTGTCCTGCTCCATTGAGTAGCTAGATGTTGGGCGCAAGTACATGAAGAGAATTGTTCCAAAGAATATGGTGACAGCCATGAGGTGGGAGGCACAAGTAGAAAAGGCTTTATGCCTACCCTCTAATGAGGGCATTCCCAAGATGGCAATGAGGATACACAGGTAGGAAATGAGGACAATCATAACACAGCTGATGACATTAAAACTGGAGAAAGCCATGATCACAATGCCATTGATGTGGGTGTCAGAGCAAGAGAGTTTGAGCAGGGGTGGGGTGTCACAGTAGAAATGATTGATCTGATTAGAGCCACAGAAGGACAACCTGAAAGTCATTCCTGTGTGTATGGCTGCATTCCCAAAGCCTGCTAGGAATGAGGTAGCTACTAGCAAGAAGCATATTCTCCCAGACATGAGAACTGGGTATAACAGAGGATTCCAAATGGCTGCATAGCGGTCATAGGCCATCATGGCCAACAGGAAGCATTCAGTCCCCAGGAAGGAGCCAAAGAAGTAGAACTGGGCAGCACATCCATTAAAAGAAATGGCCTTATTCTCAGCCACCAGGTTCACCAGCATCTTAGGAGTAACAGAAGAAGAGTAAGAGGCATCAACAAAGGAAAGGCTGCTGAGAAAGAAGTACATGGGTGTGTGGAGATGAGGATCAATCTTAATTAACACAATCATCCCCAAATTACCCACCATAGTTGCCAAATAGATTAACAGAAACAATCCAAAGAGGACAATTTGTAGATCTGGATTATCCGAGAGTCCTAAGAGGATAAACTCTGTCACTTCAGTTTGATTCCTGACTTGAACATCTTTCATATATCTGATCATTTGAGCTGCAATAAGAGAGAAGACAGAATATGGCATTTGGTCAGATGAATACATGCTAGAGCTATAAACATCTTTTTGCTGACATATATACATATGTCTAACAGAAGAGTGCAACATGAAAAATATACTAAAAAGTGTGTTGGACTTGATGTCTAGTCAAAAGACATCAAAAGACTAAATCTGAGTTATGAGTATGCTGCCTACTTACAAATGACCTCAAGAAGAGTGGCTTCATATTCATTGACTAAAATTACTTCTGGCATTAACCATTTATTGGATAACTAGAGGCCCAGTGCATAAATTCATGCACCAGTGGGGTCCCTCAGCCTGGCCTTCAGGATCGGGCCAAAACCAGCTCTCCGACATCCCTGAGGGGTCCTGGATTGCAAGAGGGTGCAGGCTGAGGGACCCCACCAGTGAATAATCAGGGCTGGGGAAGGACACAAGAGGTTGGCCAGCAGGGAGGGACTGCAGAAGGGCTCTAGGGTGTGTCTGACCCCTCTCGCTCAGTCTCGATCAGCCGGACCACAGCAGCAAGATACCCTACCAGTCAGAGCCTCTGCCCCCTGGTGGTCAGTGCACATCATAGCGAGCAATTGAGCGGCCTTAGCATATCATTAGCATATTATGCTTTGATTGGTTGAGTGGACAACTGGAAACTTAGCATATTAGGCTTTTGTTTTATAGGATTACAGGAACTAAATTACAGTAAAAGTTTAGGCACTAGCTCTAGTGGAACTCTTCTCCACTTCCCCTCCAACTTCCTCTTCCTTCCTTGGCCTCATATTATTGACTGGTATATAAAACTGCACTAGTCAAGCTGTCAAAGTATCAATTCCTTTCTCACTCACAGCAAGAATTTATTATATATTGGCCAAACTTAAAACATGGGTCCAAAGTAACCCAATACCTGTGCTGCCCTTGGATAGAAAGGATCTACTCCAAACTGACATTTTGAGTTTTAGCCTTTTAAAACATTGAGCACATGGACTTTGACCCTGTAATAGTTGGAGAAATTAACAGCATTGTGAATTTTCCTTCCAGTTCAGTGAATTACATGAACAAAACATTTTATATATTTTCCTTACCTTTTTTTAACTGCTGGACTTCTATTTGATCACTTTGCTTGTACCTAGTCAATGCCCAAATTCACACCAAAAGATCAGGAAAAAATAAATCTTTCTTCTTAGAGATGGCACTCACTCCAGGTTAAGCAGAAGGTACAGTTGGAATGGACTTTAGATACCATCCGTTACAGGGACAGGAAAACTGAAACCTTCCCTATCATAAGGAAGTTATTCTTCATTCAGCAGAGGTTGAGTCATTCTTTCTCTTACTTTTCCTTAAAGGTAAGTATCCCAGTTTGTTATATTATGGTAAAATACACTCCAAAATATAGAATATATCTTTGCAAAGCAGCTGTAATATTTTTCAAATTTATTTACAATCACAGAGTCTCCAGACCAGACTGTGGAGTAGGCATCCTGACTTATTTTAAATAGGATGTATTTCCCGTTCTTTAGTCTCTGGAGACTGTATCTCTCATGTCACCTCATTTAATCTACGTGTTTGTCTTCTCTGAAACTAAGGAAAACAAATGTTTCTTTTATATTTCTCTCCTTTACCCTCAGGACACCTGGGCCCAGTGGAGAGCGAATTTTCAGTGCCATATTCCTAACAATTATTAAGCATCCTTTTTTTCTGTCTCCCTTGATATTTGGTGTTCTGGTCGCCTTGGAAGCATTGAAAGAATCCACAAAGACAGCAGGTTGGTTCTACCTCTGTTCTTGCCTACCTGGATCATGGAGAGAGGAGCTGATTAAAGAAAGTGCAGGGAGGTAGTGAGAACAAGGGCTGTCTTGGCTTTCAGTACTGGCACAGTGTCTCACTGATTGTGTGATTTTAAATATTTCACTAGACAATATTTCATTATGTCTTAGCTTTTTCATTTCTAATTGAGAATGCTAATGCCTAGGATAACTCTGACAAAATAAATGAATGCCTGTGAGTTGTCACATCAAATGCCTGTGAGTTGTCATATTTGATGTGAGTTGTCACATCAAATGCATTTTACATGCAAACACATTTTAAGTATAAATACGAAATGAATAGATGATAATTAATAAATAAAGTTTCTCCTACTTTGACACTATTCACTACTGTCCAGAATAAGAAATAGTTTCAACCTATATAGCCTAGATTGAGACTTACCAGGTTTCCCATTTCTCCCAGTATAACTTGCATATAAAAGACACAGAGTCTGCCCTAGTCGGTTTGGTTCAGTGGTCAGAGCGTTGGCCTGTGAACTGAAGGGTCATGGGTTTCCTTCCAGGTCAAGAGCGCATATCTCAGTTGCAGGCCGATCACTGGCCCTAGTAGGGTGCATGCAAGGCAACCAGTCAATGTGTCTCTCTCTTCCATTCTCTCTAAAAAAATCAATGGGGAAAAAAATATCCTCCAATGAGGATTAACAACCAAAAACAAGGACACGGAGTCTGAAACAAATTGATCAATATCTGATGATTATTTACATATCTTTGCCACTTTGAGAAGACATTCTAATTAATTTATCTCTAAGTACTATATAATCAATGCAATTTTTACTAAATGCTGGGGGAACACAAAGATGTAAAAGATGTGTCATGCTACTCTATCTCTAGCAATTAGGCAAAATTTGAATTTATTGGCATCTTGGAGGGAAAATACAGTAGGCTTCTGTCAACACAGAATCTGAAACATAACTGGCAAACAATGAAGACTTATTTAATAACTAAATAAATAACTCTGTCAATTAAGTGTTAATTAGTTTTACATAGAAACAAACAATGATAAATTAAATGAGATTAAGCTTTGTGTAATTAGAAGAAAGGTCACATGGCACTAAGAGGTGAGGAACACAAGATATAAGACCCTAGGTGATAACAGAGTAGTAGAATGAGACCACTGGGTAACAAAGGAGTAATTAATCATGGACAGGATATATGGTAGGTCCTAGTCAGTTCCAGGATGCAAAACAAGAAATCTCAAAGAGCTTTGACTCAACCTCCATTTTACATGTAAACACATTGTAAGTATAAATATGAAATATTGTTGAATAGAATTTTATATATAACAAATTTGCCACAAATTCATTTATTAAGTAATCAAGGAGAACAAAAACTGGCTTGGGACTTTATTTACAAGGAGCTGTTCATCATTTCAGAAATGGATGCCATGAACTAGAAAGTTACGAAATTGTTTGAGGTGCCTATACAACAAACCAGTATCAGCCTGTCTTTTTAACTGTCACATTTATAAAGATTTTCGATATATAGGCAAGCATTATTATTACTATATTTAATTTTTGTTTCTCCTCTTTAAATTATATATGTAGGTAAGTTAAATAATCTATGAATATCATTTCAGAAGTAGAGGGGACAATATAAAAAGCTAAGGGAACTTGCTATAAAAAGACACCATTTGGGTCTGAAAGGGTACAGACCTATACACTTACATCGTAGTCACTAGCCACAAATAAAGTTTACTGAAATAGATTTTATAGCTGACAAAATCAAGAAGAGAGAAAATTAGTAAATTAACAAAATGTTAACTTAGCTAATAACCCCATAAACACAAACACCTTCAGTTAGGAAATTTATGTGGAAGAGGAGCTCTCATTCATGATTGCCAAACATAAAAGCCTTAAGCAAAACCAGGTGAAAATATGTGCAAAATGTCTGTGAAGAAAAATGTTAGAGAGATACTTCTTCAAAGTAGATTTGAAGAAGTATGAAGACATACATGCTCTTCGATAGCAAGACCTAATGACATAAAGGTGGCAATTCTGCTAAGTTAATTTATAAATTTAATACTGTCCCAATAACACTTGTGGGAGTGCTAGCCAACCTTTCTGAAAAGTAAGCACCACTGGGTATCCCATATACTGCTGGCTGCCACATGTACATTTAAATATGAACCACTCCATATAGCACAAAAAGTATCTTCCTCTTTGAAAGGATTTTCAGGCATCAGCAAACAGACCTTTCTAAATTACCATCAAAATCACACCATACAGGCAGCTTAAGGCTGGTAAGGGAGTCCATGCAGTCCTTATGGTGGACTCAGTAATCACAACTAGAGTAGTGATATGAATCCCCTTGTGTTTCCTTCTTTTATTATTGGGGCTTAAGGAAGACAGTGAAATCTTTAGGGAACGACAGTTCATCAAACCTTTGGGTCTCCTAGGATTGCAGAAAGCATTTCATCATATTTCTTCTGGGGATTATTTGTGATTCTGGGGATTAAATACCTCCTGCACACAGGAGCCAAGGTGGGATGAGCAAGCAGCTCAGACAAATACCAGAGTGACTCACTGTCTTTGGAAACTTCTCAGAATATCTGTTCAGTACCACTCATCAAGAGAAGATGAGACATTCAACCCCTCACCAACACGTAGAAGACAGGTCAGGTCACAGGTCAGTATTTGAGACAAAGGAGAAAATATTGTGACCGTGTGGGACTAGAGCATTACACTGGCCAGTGCTCCTTCGAGAGTGTGTTTGCGTGGCACCAGGTCCATGCCATTTTAAAATTTCAAAAAGAGACACAGTCTGGGGGGTTGGCTTTTAGGTATATCATAATAAGTCTGATTTTTTTAAAAAAAAATCCAGATTTGGAAAGCTCCATAGAGTTTGCTATCTCCGCCCCATTCATTTCACAGTTAAGGAAGCTGCATCTAATATAGGAATTCACGAAATCCAAAAAAAATAATTAGTGGAAAAAACAGGACTATCACTAGGATTCTAAGCTCTTACTTCAGTACTCTTTACATTTAAATTTGCAAAAGCAGGTGATACATCAAAATCTAAAATACAGATGGTCTATACTTGCAATATTTTGCTGGGCTTGTTTTAAACATTTGAACTATTGTTAACTGTGAAATATGCTTATTTACTCACTATTCTACTATTTCTTCAAGTGTAAGATTGGGTTGAACTTTAGCTAATGTTGGTCTCATGTGGGTAGATATATATGCACT